CGTTAAGTACTTATACAAAATTTTATTAAAATAAAACCATTTAAACTGGGTGTTCGGATTATTATATGTCACTTAGTATAAATAGTTAACAAAGAGTCAAATTAACATCATTGCCATAAATAATTGAAACAAATACCAGACATGTTCATGCATAAAATGTGTTTATGGTAATATTAACGTAAATATCGACAAAAATATAAAAAATAATATTCCCTAATAATTCACAAAGTTTTCAAACCTCCAAAGTTACCAAAATTTCAAATTTTCAAATTTTCCAGATTTTCTAAATATTCCAAACTATCCACGATTTCTAGAATTTCCTCAACTACCATCATTTCCAACATTACGAAGATTTCAAATTACCAGAATTTCTATCGTCCAAAATTTCCAACATTTCCGAAATTGTCAAAAATTTCCAAAATTCTCAAAATTACCAAAATTTTCAAAATTACCGCAGTTTCTAAAATTTCTAAAACTCAGTTTCAAAATTTCGCAAATGGAAATAATGGAAGTTGGAGATATTTTAGAAATCTTGAAAATTATGTAAAATCTGGAAGTTCTGAAAAATCTGGAAATTTTTGAAAATCTATGAATTTTGGAGATTCTGGAAATTTTAGAAACATCGAAAATCTGAGTCAAATTATACACTACTATATTAACTGGTATATGTTATGAACTTTATGGCTAATTCAATGAAAACAAAAATCAAATACACACTGACTGGCACTGTGAGCAGGTAAACATAATACAATGGATAATATTCCTTCCAAAACATTTTCTGGGTACTGGGTAAGTTGTCTTGCGTCGCTATTACCGAGCCCTCTCTGCTTGTAACAGTGGTTTATTCTACTCGAGTAAAACTATCTGCAGTTGAGCTTTCCTGTATAACTCCACACATTCAAGCAAAACGAAAGAACAAAGTATGTACTCCTTCCTTTGTGTTTAGCGTTCTATGGTATTGGAAGAGTGCACTGCGCATATATTGTAAAAGGCAGCCCATTTCAATTTAGGAAAATGAAAGCTGCTATTTTCATGAGATATCGGTTGAAAGGAAGCCCTTCATTCTTTATAGATGATGCATTCGGGGACGAAATTTTTCGACTCGTTTTTCTCCATTATCACGTTCGATACTCTTTTAAAATAGATCAAGAGGTCGCTTTTGTTGATACATTGCAAAAAATAATTTCAAAAATTTCCAACATTTTAAAAATTCTCAAAATTTATAAAATGGCCAAAATTTATAAGATTTCCAGTATTCAAAATTTCTAACATTCCCAAAATTTAAAAAATTTCCAATGTTTCTAAAATTTTCAAAATTCGCAAAATTTTCAAAATGTTCAAAATTTCCTAGATTTCCAAAATTTCGAGAATTTCCAATTTTTTATTAATAATTACCATTCGTAACTTTATAGCACTAATAAGGCTGAAGGCATCATTTTATCGAAACGCGTTAACGCTAAAAAAATCATAGGCAATGTACATCCAAAATATACCTTATGAAATAACTGATTCGCTTACAGAGTTCATGATAAATGGCCCTTAAAATAACTACGAAACCCAAATGTCGCGCAACTCCTGGCCTACTTCCATCCTCGGGCTCGTTATTCAACTGTTACGTAAGTGACATCTCGCACTATCTCTGCCCCATTCGTGTGGAGTGTCGTTCAACGCCTCCTATAGTTTACAATTAGTTCTAAATCGGAGAACAATGGAAGACGGTGGATCGAAGTAGGTCGTGACTGTTCCGCGCACATATTGGGGCCGCCAGGCACATAAGGCCCCAAGCAATCAAGTTACAATCGTGGCCTAGTTGAGAAGATGGATTTTCCGATAAAATGAGTTTTTCTAATCGGTTTAGGTTCGAGGTTATTGGAAATTAATGCTTTTGCTTAGGGTTCAGCTCTATATTTACGGTCAGTTTCTGGCTCATTGATCCTAGAGATTTTCTATCATATATATCATGGACTGTATGAAGGGCTTGGGGCTATAAGGTACCTGTGTCACATTTGAATACAAAACCAAATAAAAGCACCATAAAAAATGGAAATTCTGTGAATTATAGAAATTTTGGAAATGTTTGTGATTTTGGAAATTTTGGAAGGTTTGGAAATTTTGGAAGGTCTGCAACTTTTGGAAATTTTGGTAATTTTGGAAATTTTGCAAATTTTGGGAATTTTGGAAATTTTGGAAATTTTGGAAATTTTGGAAATTTTGGAAATTTTGGAAATTTTGGAAATTTTGGAAATTTTGAAATTTTGGAAATTTTGGAAATTTTGGAAATTTTGGAAATGTTGGAAATTTTGGAAATTTTGGAAATTTTGGAAATTTGGAAATTTTGGAAATTTTGGAAATTTTGGAAATTTTGGAAATTATGGAAATTTGGTAACTTTGGAAATCTTGGAAAATTTGGAAATTCTACAAAATTTGGAAATTTTGGAAATTTTAGAAATGAAAAATTTGAATTTTTGGAAATTTAAGGAAAAAAATTGTTTTGAATGGTTCATTGAAACTTCTATAAAAGCAATATTCCGTTATACTTTGTAAATGCACTTAAGTTATTGAAATCTAATTTTAATAATTATATAATAATTATATGTACGAGTAGTATCTACCTACTGAGGAAATCAAACCAAGTTCAACAAATAAAAACTAGTTATCAAAAAGGCATTTTACAAGTTCATATTACCTTTTTAGAATTTTTGAAATCTTCTAAACTTTCGAAATTTAGATAATTTTGTTTAGTGTATCAAAAAAAGAAACAAAACTCCACCTCTCAGCGACCTTTTGATTTATTTTAAAAGAGAACAAACGCGATAATGCCTTACAAATTTCGGAAATTTAAAAAATTTCAATTCCGAAAATTTCAAGAATTTCAAAAATCTCAGATCACAAATAAATATTTCAAAAACTGCAAAACTTTCAAAAAGTTGAAAAATTTCAAATATTTCTAGAATCTTAGATACTTTGGAAATTTCTCAAAATTCAAAAATTATAAAAGATTTCAAAAATTTCAGAAATTCAAAAATTTCAGATTTCTAAAATTTCAAAAATTTCAGAAATTTGAAAAATTTCAAACATTTCAAATATTTCAAGAATTCAAGAAATCTATAATTAAGAACTTTGAAAATTTCAAAAATTTCAAAGATTTCAAAGGTTTGAAAAATTTCATAGATATGAAATATTTCAAGATTTCCAAAACGGACTCAACATTTCAAATATTTCAAGAATTTAAGAAATCTTAAAAATTATTAGTTTTGAAAACTTCGGAAATTTCAATAATTTCAACAATTTTGAAAATTGTACAATTACTCCAAAATTACCAAAGTTTCCAAAAATTCTGAATTTAACAAAATTAAAAGAAAAAAGATCTCTAAAATTTGTAATATCTTCCGTTTCCAAAATTTACAGTTTCAGTTTCAAAAATTTCCAATTTTTTTAAATTTCCAAATTACCCAATACATATACTAAGTGACATATAAATCCGAACACCCAGTTTAAATGGTTTTATTTTAATAAAATTTTGTATAAGTACTTAATGAAGCATAATAAGTAAATGATAAAAATTTCAAAATGATTGCACTGCTTTAAAGCCCTTTGACCTTTAATAATGTGTGGATGCACCCTGATGTGCTACGCATTCTCCAACGCGCCTAGGCATGCTTCTGATCAGGTGGTCAATGTCCTCCTGTGGTATCTCATTCCAGGCAACCACCAACTCCTCTCGAAGTGCTTCTAGAGTCTGAGGAGGACGTTGCAAATTCAGCAATCTCCTACCCATTATATCCCAGGCGTGCTCAATTGGGGATAAGTCGGGAGATCTTGGTGGCCATGGTAACAATGTGACATAATTATCTTGAAAGAAGTCTATTCTTGCAACATGTGGTCGGGCATTATCTTGTTGGAAAGTTGGATCTGCCAGGGTGTCAATATAGGGTAAAAGATGGGGTTCTAGAACTTCGTGGATATAACGCTGCGCGTTCATGTTACTTCTGATGAAGATTAAAGGTGACCTGGAACCATAAGCTATAGCACCCCAAACCATAACTCCAACAGTGTGATGAACATGTCTTTCAACAAAAAACTGTGGATTCCTTCTTTCACCACGTCGCCTTCTAACCCTTTCACGACCATCGTGCATGCCTAAACAAAATCGAGACTCGTCACTAAAGACAATACTGCTCCATTCCTGATCCCAGAGTGACCGTTGTCTGCACCACTCAAGGCGATTACGTCGGTGTTCTCGAGTTAAAGGGAGGACCCAGTGTGGCCGGTATGAAAACAAGCCAAAACTTCTCATTCGTCGGTAAACACTTCGCATGCCAATAAGTCTTCCGTGTTCTGCAAACCATTCATTTGCAATGGACCTGGTAGTGGAGAAGCGGTCCCTTAAGGCCAATAATCTTAGGCGGCGATCTTCACGGTCTGTTGTTCTACGGCGGCGTCCAGTGCCTCTTGCTCTTTGCGTACAGCCTTCTCGAAGCCATGCCTGACAACACCTAACCACAGTGTCTATACTTCTTTGCACTCCAACTGCAATTGCCCGAAAAGAAAGTCCAGCTTCCCGAAGTCCCACTATACGGCCCCTATCAAACTCACTAAGTTGACGAAATCGTACAGGTCTCCGTACTCTAGGCATCGTAACCGATCGTAAAGGATGTCAAGAACCAAAATCCGCCAACGTTGATTCTTTACTGCGGCTGAAATATTCATTTTTAGAGCGTTAGTGAATTAAAAAAAAGCAGTACAAAAACCGGAATGTCCAACTGATAAGGCTGAAAATTTTTTCACTTGTTATTTACAGTAAGATAAATATATTCACCAAGTTTTATTAAAATAAAACCATTTAAACTGGGTGTTCGGATTTATATGTCACTTAATATATTTTCAAAATATCCAAATTTTTTTAAATTTCCATCATTGTCAAAATTTCCAAACTACAAAAATTCCCGGAACTTTACAAGATTACATTTGTAATGAGCTAGATAAGTTTTAAAACTTACCATGACTCAAGAAACCGGCCTGTATCAGTCTTGCCTCCATAAGCAGTTTGGGCACCAGGAGACAGAACGCAATAGCGATATGTACGAAGGGGGCTGTTGGGCCTCCGTACCTAAACAGGCCACAACCACCTCCTCCCTTGCTCAATTCTGGTGGTTCGCGACTGCAAGTGCCCATCTGCCGACCTAGCTTGTAACCATCGTTGGCCAGGTTCCCTACCTATAACAAAACAAATATTTGAGGATTCATTTTTCAGCACGTATAACAAAATAATAATAAATAAGAATGTAGCTTGTATAAAATCTCATCTCTAAATAATGATTGTGTCAACATTAACGGATTTAACCACATTTCTATCGTGAGAACATAAGGAAACTATCTCCGTAACATTTACTATGTCCCCATTAAAGCAGTGCAACAAAAAACAGACATAACAACGCATCTGGCACACTTCTCAATCCTGGAAACATTTCTACAGATTTATTTTAGACGGAAATATGCATCCTATTGAATAGGAAGACCTATTTTCGGCTTCGTTCACAGTGAAATGCTTTACTGGCCTATTAAAGTTCTAAAAATAGGCTTTTCTTCGGCCGTTATGCGGCTTGATGCATACGCGGAAACGGGAAATAATAGGGACTCTCTGGAGTGTCTCTATTTAAGAAAGGAAACACTTTTCATTTCATGGGGTTTGTCGTCAGAGCATGTATCACAGAAAAAATAAATACATCAAGTCATTACACTAGTATACTGAGTACACTGAGGAAAAAATTTAATTAGACCAACTGAGATTTTAATTAGGCTAGTTAGAAAAATTAATTAGCTATGTGACAGGTAACAAGCTTAATTATTTTGATTCAACTCCAATTTCGAAAACTATCTTAATTAAATCAAAACACAATCGTTTAATTAAATTTACTAAACCGTTTACCTAGATTGAGTACACCAATCTATTTAAATTATTGAACTGTTGAAATGATTGAAGAATGACGGCTTTCGGGCTGTTGAGCCGTGGCCGTGAAATGAGTTTATGTACTCGAAATAAAACAATTTAATTGTATCTTCAGAACGAAGAATTTGTAGGCCTATGTTTATATTAACTTTTTCTTAAAATTACCTAAAGAATCGCCTGTTTCTCACAACTTTAAGGATCATCAAGGTTGTCGATATATTCAGAATTTAAAAAAATTTCAAAACAATAGAATTTTTTTATTTTCCGGATATTCCAAAATTTGCCCGATTTTCAACATTTTCAAAACTCACAAGTTCTCATTTTTCCAAATTTTTAAGATCTCAAACTTCCAGAATTATTAAATATTTCAATATTCTCAATAGTTAAAAAATATGAATGACATAAATTTTCAAAATTGTCTAAACTTTATAAATTTTATATTTGCAAAATTTGCTTGATTTTCAAATTTTCCATAACCTTTAGGATTTTCAAAATGTTCAACACATTTTAGAGAACTTATCTACTACTCATACTCATTTATATCATGAAGTCGGACGGACCAATCTGTAACAGTGGATTCACTATAGAGGGTGTTTCAGTTTATTGTTGCATAACTTGAAGATTCGATAGAACTTTTAAAATTAATGCATAAAGTCTATATGAACATGGGTCGAAAAATGCGTGGCTTCCGAAATAAAGGGTGTTTAAATTAACTTTCTAAAATAGTTTTTTTAAAATATTTCGAACAATATTTGATGTATAACAGTGAAAACTGGTATTAAGGGTTTTTTGATACGTAGTGTATTAAAATGACCGAAAAATTTTTCGTAGTGCAATTTTTTGCTTTTTGAATAAAAAAACTGATTCTTCGCACTTTTCAACATAAAAAAGCCTCTCCTGTGAGTTTTCGTTATAGTTAGCCGTTTTTGAGATATTTCGATTTTTAAGATTCGATGCATTTTTAATTATTTATGGGAAAATAATATTTTTTTTACATTTTCGATTTGGGAATTACAAGTAATTAAGATGATCGTTTAGATTGTGTTTTTAAACACAGCAATAATTCCTAAGTCGAAATAAGTACAAAAAAAACAGAATATTAATTTGTTTAATTTTCCAACATTATTTTTAACAAATTAAATTAATTATTTACAACTAAAATGCTATTGGATAGTTAGGACAAACATACAAAATCTAAAGTAGTTGCTCGAAATGTAAACCCAATTGTTTAATACACAATTCACACCTACAAATGATTGAACGTGGTATAGCATTATTCAAATAAGGCCTTATTTCGTCACATGCATTCCTGATTTCGTCTATTAGCATATCTCTTGTGGTTACGGGAGTCTGGTACACTTTTTCTTTTAGAAATCCCCACACAAAGAAATCTAATGGATTTAGGTCAGGGGATCGTGTAGGCCAGGCGACTGGTCCTCCGCGGCCGATCCATCTTTCTGGATAATTCTCGTCCAGCCAGTTTCTAACTATTGTTGAATAATGAGCTGGACAACCATCAAGCTTTAACCAGGCCAATCTTCTTAAATCTAACATAACATCATCCCACATATCTGCATGTTCAGCCTTTAAAAATTCCAAGAAGGTCGCAGCATTTAACCTTGCAGGCAAAAGGTAGGGTCCAAATAGTCGATTACGGTAGATACCAATCCACACGTTCACACTAAATTCATGCTGAAAATTTCTTTCCCGAACTGCATGCGGATTTTCATGCGACCAAATATGTTGATTATGAAAATTTACCACTCCACGTCTAGTCAGGCATGACTCATCGGTCTATAAAACAGGTAAAAGAAACTAAATTTCGTGCATTCACAATTGCAAAAAAACGTTTCAGGTTTCAACAGACAACAAAACTAACTGTCAACTAATTGACGTTTAACCTTATTCTGCTTTCAATTTCAAAAATATTTGCAGGCACAGCCTACTTCTAAAAATTATCGAGATACTGGCTTTTTAACGTTATTTTATCATAAATAATTAAAAATGCATCGAACATTAAAAATCGAAATATCTCAAAAACGGCTAACAATAACGAAAATTCACAAGAGAGCTTTTTTATGTTGAAACGTGCGAAGAATCAGTTTTTTTTATTCAAAAAGCAAAAAGTTGCACTGAGTAAAAATTTTCGGTCATTTTAATACACTACAGGTACAGTAGAGAGCGCCCTCTAGCGGCTACAGTAAAACTATGCCGATGGTTCGTCTTGTCGTACCAAAAAACCCTTGTTTACCAATTTTCACTGTTATACATCAAATATTGTTCGGAATATTTAGAAAAAACTATTTTAGAAAGTAAATTTGAACACCCTGTATTTCGAAAGAAACGCATTTTTCGACCCATGTTTATATAGACTTTATGCATTAATTTTAAAAGTTCTATCGAATCTTAAAGTTATGCAACAATAAACTAAAACACCCTGTATAATGCAGCACGATCGGCTTTTTCAAAATTATAAGATTTTGAAAGAAAACTGGTACAAAATAATTGACGACACTAGTGGATAAAGGCGTCTCTAACATTTTTTTAAATTGCTTTTTTTGCATTAAACGTAAGGAGGCGAATCTTTCATTCTGCGGTTATTTTGTTGCAAAAACAAGATAACAAACTAATCAAACTAAATATTTAAAATTTCAATAAAATATCAAGTTAAAAAAATATCTAAAATCAATCTTCTCTATACAATGATTTTGTTACATAACACCTTCATTCACTGGTGTCTTCAATCGTTTTTCGCAATTGATGTTATTCAAAGTGACAATAAGAGCGGGGTGGGGCGGGTAATAAATTTGAAGCTGCTTAGTTGATTTTGCCGCACCGTGTATAATTCCAACGTGCATTCATAGCCGCCTCTACGTACAGCGTTTGCAAATGGCGTCCAGCACAACAGATCGATTTAATGCGCTCTCGAGGCAGCGTATAATTGTTATCCTGACGCAAAAATCGACTCTAGGCTCGCCGAGGCCGAGGAATACTCAACCGGTGTGGAGTGGAGGCAGGTCGGGTATTTCATATACATATACATGTCGTACGTATCTACAAGTTGAATCGTGCTACGTATTATTCCGCACGAAGCGTAGTATATTGTGAGGGCGTCCTTTTCGACATGCATGAATAATAGTTCAGTTCCAGGAGGCAAAGTCCTAGAAAGAAACTCGAAACTGACGCTTAGTGAAAGGCTCACCGCTGACAGATTTCCAGATGTCAAAATTTCCAGAATTTACAAAATTCCCAAGATCTCCAAAATCTCCAGAATTTCAAAACTTCCACAATTTCCAAAATTTCCCAAAATTTCCAATATTTCCAATAAGTTGAATAGTGCTAGGTACTGTTCCACATGGTGCGTAGTATATTGTGAGTTCGAAGAGGCAAGGTTCAAGAAAAATACTTGGAATTGACGCTTAGTGAAAGGCTCGCCGCTGACGGTTTTCCAAAATTTCTAGTATTTTCAAAATTTCAAAAATAGCCAAAATGACCGGAATAATAGCTTAATTCGAACAGGCAATGTCCCAGAAAAGAAACTTGGAATTGAAGTTCACTGTTGACGGTTTTCCAAGAATTTCAAAATTTCCAAAATATTTAAAATTTGCAATAATTTCGAAATTTCAAAAATTTTTAAATGTCCGGATAGGCATAGTCCCAGAAAAAAGTCATGGAATTGACGCTCAGTGAAAGGTTCACCGCTGACGATTGACAGCAGGATAGCAGGATGCTAAGCCCAATAAACGTACTTTATTGGTATTATGTGACAATCGTTGGTTATGCATAAATAACCTTCCAGGACAAGATTATCCCTAAAGCCTCCCTATAATTAAACATACTGCTTTCGTCCGTTCGACCACAGACAGCGAACGATAGACGGTTAGTTATAGTAGTAGACCGCACCTAATAGCCACCAGAATCGTCAGCCTCTAGCGGTCACACAGGCGAACTGAGATCCTTACAGTTCCAACCTATAGCTGCTATATTCTCTCAGTGGTAGATTCTGGCTATAGATGGCGCTGGGTGCTGACTTATTTCAATAGACTTCTCGATAATTACTCATAAGATTTCGTATTATCAGAATTTCCTCTTGGGTTGGGTATCTTGCAGACTTTGCTCGAATACTGAAATCCTGTATTCGAATACGAATCCTGAATACTGTATTATTAATTGTATTCGAATACTAAGAAAAAAAGGTATTCGAACCGCTGTTTTGAATACTTGGATCAATTTAAATACGAATACTTTTTGAATATTCCAACTAAAAAAACCTGTGTGCACTTTAAGCTTGGTTTTGATTTATGTACTTAAGTTATAAAAATATATAGAAAAATTAAAAATACATTTGATTCACACAAGTGAAGCTAGACAAATTAATTGTATAATAAAAAACATTATTTGATTTTTATTAGGTTTTTCTAGAAAATTAATCGAACAAAAATAATAAGAAGATACGTTATATGAATTTTACACAAAGTACATACACAATTGAAAAATAAACTTACCTTTTTATACAGGGTGACTTCGAAGTTGAGTCATTTATTTTAACAGTGAGTAGATCTGATCAAAAGAAATGTTCTTTTCCTTTAACATTTTTCTGGTAAAATTAAAGTAACAAAGTTATAGCCATTTAGATGTTTCAGTACCGCCCTGTCTCAATAATAATATTATGTGCTCATGTTTGGCAACAACGGATATAATCCGCCTTATCCGTTCATCGCATCGGAAACAAAAAAGCGAAAGAATTTGAAACGATGTTTTGAGTACAATGTACAATTTTATTCAGTTGTATTCAGTCGATGTGTCAGTCGGTAACGCGTGAGTGAATAGTGGTGTTTGTTGCATGGCTCAAACGAAATAAAAAATTGCACATATTTTCGAAAATGCTGAATGTAGTACAAAGGGCTCGTGAATCAGGTGACTTAAGACCTCACAGGGGACGGCATGCCGGTGCTCCAAGACCGCACGTCAAATACAGGTCCGCACTGAAATACTTGTCGGGAGGATACTTTATAAAACAAGGTCACATTTTTTTTATTTTCTTTTTATGTTTACACACATATTTTGGTTTATCTTCCTTCTACAATCATTATCTGAAAATTAATGACTCAACTTCAAAGTCACCCTGTATATCTACCTTAACACACACACACGCTTATTTTGGGTAAAGTATAACGCAATATTTATAAGAATAGCCAAACAATGTTCGAATTCCAATACAAAGTGGGTATTCGAATAGTGGGATTCAGAAATGGTATTTAGACTCCAGAATACCGAGTACTGACAAAAAAGTATTCAATCGAATAGCAAACACCATACACACAACTATCGAATACTATTCGAATACTAGCGACATGTATTCTGAATAGCATTCAAAATACCGGGTATTCGAATATTCCCACATGACATACGAGTATATTAATTACGGTGTATATCGTTTTCTTCGTATAAATATGGATACCACTTACAAGACCTAATGTACTAGACTATATTCTGTAGAACATGCAAAAACGCTCTTTTTTGCAGCACATAAATGCAGTCTGCAGTTATGCAGCTAGATATGAAAGATAGCGGGAACACAGCGTGCTTCACAAATGAATTACACGACGAGCCTTGAATATTTTCATCTGTTCTTATCGAAAATTCTTTGTTTTGCTTCCGACAGTATGAATGTTCGCACCTTGCACCCCATTATTAACTCCAGTCACGATCAAATCATGTAGTATAAACCGCGTGTTGATAAAAAAAAAACGATTGACACGCTCACTCTCTTTCTTTTGTTTTGCCAGTCCCTCAGCCTCCTAGATTTCACGTACTTTCAGATAACTTTTTTTGTATTTCAACTTTTTTAAGTACAATATGAATTTCAATATTTTATCTAGGATCAACCGTAAGCTAAGCTGAATCTTAACTTTTATGTTTTTGATGCATCAGGTACACTTAAAACTTAAGACAGTTGAGCTGAGTCTAAGAATTTATCTACTTAAGTCAAAATGTCAGTTATTTTCATGGTGGAATAAAAATGCCTCAAAAACCCCCTTGAAAAAATGTTCACGCCGCCCATGTTCAACAGCGCGCGTTGTTACGTAGCATGTTCCACATTGGAAACATAGGCCAAGGGGCAGTTTAAAGTAATTTTGATCACAGAATGAGTATAGTTCACCTACTGCTGGCAATGTTATCATGCCTCCCCGGTGAGTGATAGCTTTTGTTAGACATGAATATTCAGTACTAACCTTTAGCACAGCCACTGATATGAAGATTGGCAACAGCAAAAAAGCTGCGCCTGTTAGTCCCAGGCTGCAGTTCAGTTCTACGTAGGGCAGACCCTGAGGCCAAGCTAGCATCGAGTACCCTGTAACAAAATTGAAAACATGTTAAATCCGCGACCATGAATCTGATACTTCGCAAAACCTGGAAATTTGGTAAATCAATATTGTATATGATACGATCTGGTGGACAACGACTTTGGGCTAGGACTAACGTTTCCACAACAAGAATCTAAGGCTGGTCAAACTACCCTGTATCACCGCTTAAACATCCCACATATAACGGCCGTCTTAATTTCCTCGCCACTTTAGCTCTCCCGGAAACTTCCAACTTCCATATAGCACTAGTCACGCTCCTCGAGAACGCAGCCGTTAAAGTTCAACGTTCCTCCAAGATCGCGAAAAGCCCATACGTTAACGTTAAAATGGAAATAAACATCGGAAACGTAGACGGCCCTGGAAGTAGCTGCCTAGTAGGTGTTAATAATGCAGATGGCGTTGGAAACAAGAGAACGACGCCGGCAGAGCCAACTTGGATTCGATCGCAAGTGCAGAGATTTGCTCGGGGATCTTGTCCCAGGAACTCGGAATTTGCTATTGTCTACGAGGATTTTTCAGGTTGTTTGTCATTTCATTGGACGGTTTTGCTGAAAAGTTCCGGAACCCCACGATAATTTGTGAACTAATGATGGAAGAAAAAACTAAGCCCTGCGGTTGATCGTTCTTCTCAACTATCCAATGATGATCTTGTATTTGACCTTTGCCATGAGGTTCAAGGTCATTTTAGTGTCAAGTCGATTTTTTTAATTGGAGCCTCCCATTTTGACCTTTAAGTTTGAAAATTTCAAAGGTTTCTAAGGTTCCAAGATTGATTTTTGACGTTTCAGAAGATCCCGATCATTTTTGAAAACGTTTCTGGGGGTAAAAAATTGGGGGCGGGGTTAGCAACTATATAAACTATAACTGAGACAGATAGATGGCGCTTTGTATTGTCTCATTTCGATATACGTTTCGCTTTTTCGGCATCAGAATTTCCATAAAATCTAACGGGAATATCAACAGAACGCCAAACCGCATAAACTTGATAAAAGACGTACCTTTGCATTTAAACTCCTGTAAATAAGTTAGAAAACTTTGTTCCTCGGTAATATTTTAACGTAAACAGGTTGTTAAAAGTTTTTCCATGCCTAATAAGATATTTCAACTTTCGCTGTCTCTTGAAGAAGAGAAGAGATAAAAGATAGTTAAGTATAACAGATGACTTTAACAGACCCAGTTTCTTTGAGTTTTCTATGTTTGACTAAGGGTCTTGTTAAACGTGTGGTTTGAGATCACATTTATAGATGTTCCTTGGTGATTGCGTGCCTTGGATTTTAAACAAATACCTCTTGCTTGAGGGAAGAATTTGCAGTTGCATTTGAAAATGAGCTATAGGAGCACAGGTTTTCCAAATCTGAAATTTTTCAAAATGTTCTAAGTTTTCCAACAATTTTCCTTGTTTTTATAATTCTATGATGCACATGAGTGATTTTCGACACCTTTTTAAAATATCAAACATTTTAAAAAATTTAAATTTGAAAATTTCATACATTTTGAAAATGCTACATTTCAAAATTTGGGAGTTTTGCAAAATTTCAAAGAGTTTCAAGATTTACATAATTTTCAGTGTTAAAAATTTCCAGTTTTCAATATTCTCGACATTTTCAATATTTTAAATATCTTAAATTATCCAAAATTTTCAAAATATACAATATTCACAAAATATTAAAGATTTCAAAAAAATTGATTACCGCAATTTCTAGAATTAATTTTCAAAACCTAAAAACTTTTGAAATCTTTTTTTTCAGAATAAACAAAATTTCCAAAATCTTCATAGTTTTCAAAATTCTCAGCTTTTAGAATATTAATAATTTTAAAAATTTTCAAACTCTCTAATTAATTTTAATAATTGTTTAACGAAATTTTCAACATTTTTAGAATCAACTTTCAAAAGTTGAAATCTTTTTAAACATTTTCATTGTTTAGCATATTCGAAATTTTCAAAATCTTCATCATCAAAATTCGAAGTTTCAAAGATTTTAAAAATAATTCTCAGTTTTTAGAATGTTGGAAAGTTGAAAAATTTACAAGATTTTAAAAATTTCCGAAATTTTCAAAATTTCCAGTTTTGAAAATTTTCATAATTTTCAAAATTGTCGAAATTTTCATGATTTTCAAAACTAAAAATTTTGAATTTTTCAGAATTTTGAAAAAATGTTCTTAGGTCTGACATTATACCTTAGTTATTGTATGAAAAAAGTCTAGTTTATTTAATACAGGATACATTTTAAAAAAGTATCAACAACACACTACATCTCAATTTTGCTTCATACCTCATGTAAACCAATTAAAAAGCAATTCCACCTCGCTACTGTTTTCCAGAAGCCTCGTTTTTCACGGTGTAAAAAAACGCTGTAACTCCCAAAGCTTTAAATCTCCCTTTTATCTGCTCTTACCTATCGGATTATTCAGCGAAGTAATGAAGTTTGCAACTTCAACTCCACCGCTCTGGCAATAATTTTAAACTACACACGATTCAAGGATCTAGAAGCAAGATAGAAGGCCGACTTGGATCTTGCCGGCAATTATATTCTTCATCGAAAAAGCTAATATATTTTTAATCCCTCTTACTATGGGATTAAGTTGCAATAAGCGATAGATACCGCTTTCATTCACTATCTGGATTTGCTAGGGATAAGAAAGAAGGATTGAGGGAGGAATTCTTTTGTTTAATCGCTGTTGTTCGGTTAGTCAGGTTCATTTGGCAAATACATATACGAGGGATGTTGTTTAAGTTTTACATATGGAAATAAAACAACACGGTAGGTAGTTTTAAGTGACTTTATTGTTTGTCGCATTTTTACTCTGCATTCCACATTCCATTCTGTTTTCTGAGATAATAGATTTTGATACATTTGTAAATGTATAAATGATTAATTTCGGCATTTTAAAAACTGGAAATTTTGAAAATGTCAAATTTTGAAAATCTTTTTTTCTTATTTAATCTTTTTTAAAAATATAGAAAGTTTCGAAAATTTAAAAAACTGGAAATTTTGGAAATTTTGTAAAAATTGTAAATTTTGGAAATCTTAGAAATTTTTAAAATTTTGGAATTTCTGGAAATTTTGGAAATTTTGGAAATTTTGGAAATTTTGGAATTTCTGGAAATTTTGGAAATTTTGGAAATTTTGGAAATTTTGGAAATTTTGGAAATTTTGGAAATTTTGGAAATTTTGGAAATTTTGGAAATTTTGGAAATTTAGGAAATTTTGGAAATTTTGGAAATTTTTTGATTGCATATCGAAAGGAGGCAATACAACAGTTTTCAAAAATGACCAGGATCCTCGTCAAAAACAAAGCTTACGCGATATTCTCCTGCGTTTTTCTCTGCATGTTACCGCGTTTTATTGTTTTCTGAGATAAAAGATTTTGAAACATTTGAATATTTTGAAAATATTGGATGTTTTGCAAAACTATGAATATTCAATATCAATCAACATTTAAAAACTGTAAATTTTTAAAATGTCAAATTTTGAAAATCTTGAATAATTTGAAAATTTTCGATTATTTTGAGAATTTTTAATATTTTTAAAACTTTGGAAATTTGGTAAATTTTGGAAATATAGGAAGTTTTGGAAATTATAAAATTTTTGGATCGTATATAGAAAGGAGACAATACAAAGTTTTCAAAAATGACCAGGATCCTTTGAAACGTCAAAAAACAAAGTTTGAGCGATCTTTTTCGACATTTTTCTCTGCCGCCACCGGACAGATTTTCAAAAACTGCAAAGCCTTTTTATACTTTTGGCATATCAGCAATACTTCCTCGCCAGTCAGCGTGGGAAGTAACAGCACCATCCATCTCATTTTAACCGCTCCTCTCTACAAAATGGAATGCAAACAATTTAAACGCCCCATCCTGACAAAGTAAAACATCCTCCTACATCTCGGCGGTAGAGATAGAAGGCCGACTTGGATCTTGCCGGCAATTATATTCTTCATCGAAAAAGCTAATATATTTTTAATCCCTCTTACTATGGGATTAAGTTGCAATAAGCGATAGATACCGCTTTCATTCACTATCTGGATTTGCTAGGGATAAGAAAGAAGGATTGAGGGAGGAATTCTTTTGTTTAATCGCTGTTGTTCGGTTAGTCAGGTTCATTTGGCAAATACATATACGAGGGATGTTGTTTAAGTTTTACATATGGAAATAAAACAACACGGTAGGTAGTTTTAAGTGACTTTATTGTTTGTCGCATTTTTACTCTGCATTCCACATTCCATTCTGTTTTCTGAGATAATAGATTTTGATACATTTGTAAATGTATAAATGATTAATTTCGGCATTTTAAAAACTGGAAATTTTGAAAATGTCAAATTTTGAAAATCTTTTTTCTTATTTAATCTTTTTTAAAAATATAGAAAGTTTCGAAAATTTAAAAAACTGGAAATTTTGGAAATTTTGTAAAAATTGTAAATTTTGGAAATCTTAGAAATTTTTAAAATTTTGGAATTTCTGGAAATTTTGGAAATTTTGGAAATTTTGGAAATTTTGGAATTTCTGGAAATTTTGGAAATTTTGGAAATTTTGGAAATTTTGGAAATTTTGGAAATTTTGGAAATTTTGGAAATTTTGGAAATTTTGGAAATTTTGGAAATTTAGGAAATTTTGGAAATTTTGGAAATTTTTTGATTGCATATCGAAAGGAGGCAATACAACAGTTTTCAAAAATGACCAGGATCCTCGTCAAAAAACAAAGCTTACGCGATATTCTCCTGCGTTTTTCTCTGCATGTTACCGCGTTTTATTGTTTTCTGAGATAAAAGATTTTGAAACATTTGAATATTTTGAAAATATTGGATGTTTTGCAAAACTATGAATATTCAATATCAATCAACATTTAAAAACTGTAAATTTTTAAAATGTCAAATTTTGAAAATCTTGAATAATTTGAAAATTTTCGATTATTTTGAGAATTTTTAATATTTTTAAAACTTTGGAAATTTGGTAAATTTTGGAAATATAGGAAGTTTTGGAAATTATA